CCGCCCCTCGGGGCGCCCGGCCCGCGCCGGCTCCCGCTCCCGCTCCCGCGCCCGCACCCGGGGGCTTCTTCACCAAGGGGCCTGGCGCCACCAGAGCTGCGGGCTGGGGGGCAGCGGGCACCTCCTCGTGCTTCGCGGGCTGGGGAGACACCAGCAGAGGAGGCATCCCCTCGGGGTCTTTGGGTCTCATGGGCACTTTTTCCTCCTCCTCCACCACCGGGCCATATTCTATGGGCAGAGCTGTGTTGATGACATCTGGATCCTGTGGGAAGGAGGAGAGAGGACGGTTGAAACGGAATCACAGAGATGTTGGATTTAGACGTGATCTCACAGGGAGTAACATCTGTTTACAGAGGAGCCATTTTTGTCAGCTCGACACAACATGTCTGTGGGTCATTTTCTTAAGGATTGATGTGGGAGGCCCCAGTCCACTGTGGGAAGTGTCACCCCTGGCTGAAGGTCCAGTGTTGTCTAAAAAACAAACTCAGGAGCCAGCCAATAAGCAGCCTTCCTCCATGGTCTCTGCTTTAGTTCCTGCCTCCAGCTTCCTGCCTTGATATCCGGCCCTGGTTTCCCATGATGATGGGCTGTCAGGTGTTAAGAGGAAGTAAACCTCTCCTTCCGGAGTTGCATTTGCTCGTGGTGTTTACTGCAGCAACAGTAGACTAATATATTAACAGGTAGGCATAAGTAGTGAGCAAGCATCACTGTTCTTGGAAACCTTAGAAGAAAGCATTGTTGTAGGAGAGGATACCAGGTGCTTATGGCCTTGGGGCCGTGGGATGGGGGCAGTGCAGAGCAGAAAGCCCCTGCGGCAGTTTTTAAAAACAGATTTTAAAAACTTTATTAATTTTAATCTGTTGTGTGTACGTGTATGTGTTCGGACATGTGTGTGCCTTGGTGTGTGTGTGAAAGTTCAGGACAACCCTATAGAGTGGGTTCTCTGTCCTCCACTTTGTGGGTCCTGGGATGGAACTTTTGTCATTTGGTTCTGGCAAACAAAAACCTTAACTTGTTGAGGGCCCTTGCTGAGGTAGTATGACTTCTGTTTTGCTTTAGGTAGGGTGGCAGAGGAGAAGGACACCACTCTTGGCTTACTTACAAGGGGTGTCATTTGTTCTTTTCCCATGTACCTGTAGTTTTCGTCATATTTGGGTGATTGGCTCCTGATGGTGACTTTGTGTTGTATGTTGTCATTACACATGCAGCTGTCCCAATGTTGAGACTCATTTGCCCATTCAGATGTGATGGGGCTTTTGTGGAGTCGAACAAATTCTCAATTGTGATGAGAAACCATTCACAGAAAGAGCTTGGTACTAGACCATCGTTATAGTCATAGACTGTATTAGGAACTCGGATGCAGTTGCCAGGGGTTTAAGGAAAATTTGTTGGCGAAAACTCCGGGGAAATTTATTACAGTAATAGTGTATGCAAATGGAGGGGAAACCTCCATTGTTTAAGTTTTACAGAAGAGCTCACCCGTCCAGTGTTTATTAACAAAGGGTTTAAGAAAATAACAACAAATATCTTTTAAAAAAACATTTCATTTCTTCCCTGTTTCTTACTTTCACAGTAATCCATTTAAAATATGCAGCTGTAGAATCATCTGCAAAGGTATTACATATTTGGAAAAGAAAAACCAAAGAAAGTGTGTGAGCGTATGTATGCATTTATGAGTGTATTCTATCCCTGTTACAATGGAAGTTAAATGTCATGAAGCAAGGGTCCCTGAACTGTCTCTCCCCTGATAACATGGTCACTGAATTCCACCTCAATGAAGATGGCAGCTCCCTTTTACAGCAGAAAGGCCTGAGAACATTGAGGCAGTGTGGCTAGAGAGACAGTTGCTGAAATCTGGAGAAAACGTCCATCCTCGGTTCCAGATGAGGGAATGTAGAGAGATGGTGGCTCATTGTTTGACTTTTCTAAAATATCTCAGTGGTGTGGCCACTGATAGGTTCCCCACACTCCAGCAGATGAGCCCATTCCCGTGCACATGTGGTATTGGACTGATTTTATGTCAACTTGACACAAGTTAGAGTCATCTGAGAGAAGGGAACCTCAATTGAGGAAACACCTCCATAATCTGGCTATAGGCAAGCCAGTAGGGCATTTTCTTTATTAGTGATTGATGGGGGGAGGGCCCATCCGAGTGTGGGTGGGACCATCCCTGGGCTGTGGTACTGGGTCATGTGAAAAAGCAGGCTGATACAATCCTTTTCACCAAAGGAACTAGGAAACTTGGAAACAAACTTCCAAATATGTAAGAGAAAAATGCATGGTCCCGGAGGATAGGAAGGGCCAGGAACTCCGAAGCTAATAGGGAGCATGAGATTAGAGGAGAGGGAGCTGGCAGAATGTGAGAAGAGGGGAGAGGAGGAAATGGAGGAGCAGAAAGGTTGAGTTGGGGGAAGAATAGAGGAGAGCAGGATGAGAGATACCATATCAGAGTGAGCAATTATAGGTCCCAGGAGAGATCTGGCACTAGGGAGATTTCCAGAGATCTACAAGGATGACACCAACTGACAATCTAGGCAATGGTGGGTAGGCTACCCTAAATGCCCTTCCTCTATAATGATACTGATGACTACTTTATATGCCATCCTAGAGCCCTCATCCAGTGGCTGATGGAAGCAGAGGCAGACACCCACAGCTATACTCTGAACTGAACCCTGGAACCCAGTTGCAGAGAGGGAGGAATGAAGATCAAGGGGGTCGGGACCAGGCTGGTGAATCCCACAGAAACAGCTGACGTGAACAAGGGGGAGCACATGGACCCCAGAGTGCTGTCTGGGAGGCCAGTACAGGACTGATCCAGACCCCTGAAAGTGGATGTCAATGAGGAGGCCTCGACACCCTATGGGGCGAGAGCCCATCCCATGTGAAGGGATACACTCTTGGCCTGGACACATGGGGGAGAGCCTAGGCCCGACCCAGGATGATGTGGTAGACTTTGGGGAGCCCCTGTGGAGGGCCCTACCCTTTATGGGGAGTGGAAAAGGAAGGGGAAGGGGCTGATGGGGGTTGGGGGAGGGGGGAGAGGGAGAAGGGATTGGCATGTGAAATTATAATTTTGTAAAAGTAAAAAAAAAAAAAATTAAAAAAAAGCAGGCTGAGCAAACCATGAAGAGCAAGCCAGTAAGTAGCACCCTCCATGGCCTCTGCATCAACTCCTGCCTCCATGTTCCTGCCCTAACTTCCTTCAGTGATGGACTATGGTATGGAAGTGTAAGCCAAATAACCACTCTCCCTACCCCAGCTTGCTCTTGGTCATGGTGTTTCATCACAGCAATAGTAACCCTAACTAATAAATATGGTAGCACCAACTGGACTTAATGGGTTATCCAAAGGACACACAACAAACAAGAGCAACAACAAAAGAGGACCTGAAGCTGGGAAGGAGCCATGTTAGGGAGACATCAAGGAGATGGAGAGGGTAAAGTGTGGGGGGTGGGGGTGGGGGTGGGGAGAAGGGAGAGTGTAATTAGAAGTGAAGCAAAGGGGACTAGCCAAAGGTGGGTGTTGGGTAAGGGAGAATATGCTAATTTAATTCTGTATCCTGATAGGTTCAGAGCCAGGAGGGAGGGAAAGATCAGACACACTAAAGAGAAAAATGGCAACTGACATGAAGTCCTAAGAGGTAGCTGGTGACATCCTGATAGGAGATAGATGGACTGGGGCATGGGGTGGCTGCTGAGAATGGTGGCAGATGCTGGCAAGTCTGTGCCAGAGACAGGGAGGAGAGGAACTCTCCCACCACCACCTCTCTCCCCACCTGATGATGAGTGGGAGGCACTGCTGGAGATGAAGGTGAACACTTACAATTCTGTAGAGATGGGAGGAAGTAGGAGAGGGATGTACAGAGAGCCCAGGATTGCTAGGAATCCTTGTGACTTCCACAGCCTCTCCAAGCCTAGCCCCCTCCTCAGTAAAATGGGACAGAATGAACCCTCCATTAGAACAAAATAAAAAGACACAGGAAAACAACTTGTGTAGTATAATTCCATGTAAGTGCTACTGATGGTTGGTTTGAACATTTCCCTTGATTGCTTTAGCAGTCATACAGTTACTATTTAATATTATTTGTCTGGCCAGGTTGTAAGTCTTGAGAGCTTTCATTCTCTTTGAAGTCCCAGTTTCATCTACAAAACATTAGCTGTCTGGCTATCCGTGATGCTACAACAATATGGCTACCTAAACAAAACCTGAGCATCAACAGACATACTAACAGGGAAGGGGGAAATCTCATGGGCCCCACACCAAGACAAAGAACTATAGGCAGCTAATGATGGTTGGGAGGGAGGATTACTCTTTCCCAGGGTGGCATTCTCTAATTGGTTATCCAGTATCAAGTTGTTGGCTCTGATATCACATACACACACACATATACAAGGAGCACAAAATGGATTCAGTAGGTTGTATTTATATGGATATATATGTAACAGTAATAATCAAAGAAAAAGACATGAATTTAAGAGGCAGTAAAGAGGCTGGGGGGTGTTGGAGAGGTTGGAGTGAGGAAAGGGAAATGATGTGATTATATTTTAATTGTTAAAAGATGACAACAAAAACCCATTAACTAGCAGGATCAGCTAATGTCTAGGGCTGTAATTGGGGTGCTGGCGAAGAAAGTGGAAGTTTCCAGTGTTTATTGTAGGATGTGGGTAAAGTGGGATGCCAATCATATCGTTTCAGAGATGAGGAATATTGAGTCTCACTATCACCAGTCTTATGAGATTATAAACATTATAAAATAGCAATGTATAAAATGCTCCCATGGAGATTAAAGGCTAGTCAAGGGAGAAAACACATTACCTGGGTGCAGTATTCAATCCTCTCCAAAATGATGGCGAAGTTGGGTCTGTCTTCAGGCTGATGTTGCCAGCACTGCGTCATTATCCGATAGCTGCAAGAAGGAGCATGTTAATGGATCAGGAGAAGCATCTGGGAAGGCCTCTCCCCCATCTCTTTTCTCAGTCAAGCCAAAGCTTTAAGGATGGGAAGACATCTAGGTCCAAGTGGTTGATCTATTCTGCCCCCTGCTGGTGGGACCAGAATCATGCCCAAATGTAAGTCCCATGAAAGACCCAGCTATTTACATCAAATCCCTAAAGCCATGTTTAGGATGGAGTAGTTTAATTCCCCATTTTGTTTTTGGAAAGAAGGTGAGGGGATGCCATAGGGGGCAGGAAAAAAAGCCATAAGGGGAAGAACTATTTATGGGAGATATACACAGAGTGCTGGGCTGATGGGTGGATCTGGGACACACAATTCCAGAGGCCAGTCTGAAATGTAGGGCTCCTGAGTCCACAGCCTCCAGCTCGGCAGTAATGAGATGAACTTATTGTGTTTGAAGGCTGGAAGACAAACCCATCTTACTGAAGTCTCGGGCACACTGTGTTTGGAGACATCTTAAAAGAAGGCTGTCACTTTCCCTTTAATATTAAAGAAACATATGTGATCCAGTGCTTAGTTTTTAGTAGGAAGTTCCCAAAGTTCGTACACAGGCCCGGGGCAGTTCTTAGGTGGGTCCATCCGTCCGCCACTGGTGACAAACTCCAGAACTTCCTGGTTGCTCTTGCTGGGGTATGGCATATACCCGAGAGAAAATATTTCCCACAGCAATACTCCAAAAGACCTGGGCATGGAACAGAAGACACAGATTATGGGTGTGGATGCATGCAAACGCACAGCACACACGCACGCATGCACGCACGCACGCATCTTTAGTATATTTTCCTTTATGCTGTTTACTGTAAAAAAAGGGTGTGCTCTCTCTCTCTCTCTCTCTCTCTCTCTCTCTCTCTCTCTCTCTCTCTCTCTCTCTCTCTCTCTCTCTCTCTCTGTGTGTGTGTGTGTGTGTGTGTATGAGTGCACATACACACATTTGTGCACATACACATGGAGTCCAAAGGACAACAACCTTAAGTATTGTTTCTTAGGAAACATCGACCTTGTTTTTTGTTTTAAATGATTATTTAATTTTTATCTGAGTGTTTATAGAGGCCAGAAGAGGACATCAGATCCCCTGGCACTGGAGTTACAGGTATTGTGAGCCATTCAATGTGGGAGCTTGGAACTGAACCCAGGTCCTCTGGAAGAGCAGCAAGCACTCTTAACGAGGGAGTCTTCTTTCCTGACCCTAACTTGTTTTTTTTTTTTTTTTAATTAAGCAAAAAAATTAAAACATATTCTTAGATACCATCTCTCAGTGGCCTGGGGTTCACCAAGATGGCTAGGCTGGCTAGTCAGTGAACCCCAGGGTCCATCTGTCTCTATTCCCCAGTCTCTAGCATTATAACATTATAAGCGGCACTGCCCCTCATCTTTTTTCTTGTTTTCCTTCTCGTGAGTTCTGGAGATTGAACCAGGACCTTTTGCTTGCAACCTACAAGCCCTTCACTGACTGAGCTATATCTGCAGTCCAGAGGACATTCTAGGCCCAGAAAAATGGAAAGAATGTTCAAGCATTCATATGACTCTCTATTAAAAGATAACCGGTTAGCATACTTTTCATTCCAGTCAAGCTCTGTGTCTAGATTTCTTTTATATAACCATAGCTATTGAACCTTGATAATTTTACTCATTTCATGATAGCACAACCATTTTCCACGCTAAACATTTTATAAATAGACTCTGAAATGCCTGTGAGAAATTCTATTGAGATGTAACATGGTTTGCCTTATCATATTGTTTTCAGTTTTCAAAATATTTTAAACGTTGAATGAACATCTTTATGCACTTTGATTTCAGTTCATTTTATTTTAATTTTTGTGAAGGAGTCTCATTTTGTATTTCATTTGCTACATAGTCCTGCTGGCTTCAAACTCAAAATCTCCCTGCCTCTTGAGTGCTGGGGCCACCACACCTGGCTTTTGTCAATTTTTTAAAGATTACTTAGGACAAACCATCTGACTAATAGAATAGTAAAATCAATAATATTTCTAGTATAATAACTAGATTTAAAGAACACAAACCCTGAAATCTTGTGTTACCCTCCTAACTCTCAGTATGTACATTAGTAGTAACATTTGCTCGCTTTAAAGCAAAATACAACAGGATAACTTTTTAATTAAAATTTTTATCTTTATTTTTTATTTTATGTGTATAGGTGTCTTGCATATGTCTGTGCACCACATGCCTTCAGTGTCAACAGAGGTCAGAAGAGAGCATCAGAGCCCCTGGAACTGGAGTTTCAGATGGTTGTGAGCTGCCATGTGGGTGCTGGAAACTGAGCCCAGTTCCACTGGAAGAGCAGCCAGTGCTCTAACCACTGAGCTTCTCCCCAGCCCCAAGGGCCCCTACCTCAAAAAAATAGAAAAGACAAAAAAACCAAAACCTCAGGGCAGAAGTGTTCCCAGCCTAATATTTTCCGTTCTTTGTTGTTGTTGTTTTCGAGACAGGGTTTCTCTGGAACTCTCTCTGTAGACCAAGCTGGCCTTGAACTCAGAGATTCACCTGTCTCTGCGTTCCCAGTGCTGGGACTAAAAAGCGTGTGCCACCACCACCACCCGGCTCATTTTCAAATTAATTGAGTTAGTGTTGTGGGAGAGCATGGCACAGTGCACATGTGGAAATCAAACACCTTTTAGGAGGCTGTTCTTTTCTTCCAGCCTGTTTGTTCTGGGGATTGAACTCAGGTGTGGTGGGGAGTGCCTTCACCTGTAGGCAGTCTCTCCACATCTGCTGGAATATGGAAGCTCTTCACTTCACATGGAGTGTTTTACTAAAATCTTCTGATCTACTCCTTATTTCTCTCCAACATATTGTCTGTTCACATCTTTTGCATGATTTTATTGGTCAGGGTATATTATTTTAGTATCTCGGTTTGGCCTTTGAGTTGTAGACATTCTTTGTATGTATTAAGGATGTTAGTCCTTCCGCACAGCAGAGCTGGCCCTGGTGAAGTGAGTGCTCATGAGCCTGCCCTGAGGGTGTGATAGCAGGAGAACTGTGTCGTGCCCCCCCACCCCCACCCCCCGTTCCTTGCGGCCTGTGTTGCATTGGGTGAGCTAGCTGGGGCAGTTCTGGAGAGTTCACCTCGTGGTGAGGACAAGGGCAAGCTGGTGGGCTGGCTGGCCAACCCAGAACCAGTCCCAGGACCAGAGTTATGAACACTTGCAAATAAGGATGCATGTGACTCACTGTGACCCACTACAGCTTCCATGACAAAAGAGATTTTATTTTCTTTTAAATTTTATTTTATTGTGTGTGTGTGTATGGGAATTGCCAAGGTTAGAGGGAGGATACAAAGGGTCAGGAGGATAAATGGAACTGGGGTGCATGACGTAAAATCCACAAAGAATCAATAACAAGTTTTTGTTTCTTTAAAAGATGTTAGCCATTTATCAAAAAATAAAAAATGCTTATTTTTTGGTAGAGTTGGAGGTAGAGGTAAGAATTCCCTAGTGGTTGGCTGCTTTGCTTTTCTGATCTTCGACTTGAACCCTAATATCTGTCTCTGGGTTTTTATTATTCATGCTACAGATGTGCTTGTTTTTCTCTCTTCAGTTAGAATTTGAGGGGACTGAATCCAGGATCTTTCATATGCTAGGCAAGTATTCTGTCTCTGAGTGGGGTCTGCCTACTTCCTTATTATTATTATTATTTTTAAATTTAATCTTGGGTAGTGGATCATGTTGGTCCTGAACTCACTCTGAGGCCAGGCAAGCTTTGATATTGCAACCCTCCTGCCTCAGTTCCTTAAAAAGTTATAATTACAAGAATGTACCACAAGGCCTAGCCAGAATACTTCTATTAGTTGCTTGATGATCTAACTTTATGTGTATCAAAGGCTTTCTTTTTCTTTTTCCTTAATTTTTTTTTGGAGGGTGGGGTTAGAGACAGGGTTTCTCTGTATAGCTTTGGAGCCTGTCCTAGAACTCACTCTGTAGACCAGGCTGGCTTCGAACTCACAGATATCTGCCTGCCTCTGCTTCCATGGTGCTGGGATTAAAGGTGTGCGCCACCAATGCCTGGCAAAGGCTCACATTTTCAAGTAGTTAAATGTGTTCACTACATTTTTGTAATTTCTTCTATTTGTTTTACAGTTGTGAAATCTTCTCTTCACCAAAGATTAAATAAATGTTTACTATTTTCTAGGTATGTTTGTTTTTCTCTCTTGAATTCATTCAGAATTTATGTATAGTGGGGAGGGAAGGGTCAAAAGTGGTTTGTTTCTCTGAATGATTCTTCCAGCACTTTATAAAATGATTCCCCTTCCCTATTGGCTTTTGATTAAAGACAGGGATGTTTTTAATAGGCACTCCCACCTATTCCTTTCATCTGCTTGCTTTCTGCATTGACAGTATTTTGTTTCGCTTTTTCTGTCTGTGTTTTGACATCACATAAGACATTTTCTTCTTTTTAAAAAGGTATTTGGTTTCCTGTTATTTGTTTTAAAGGACTTTTGAGACCCAGTTTATTAAGTTCCAGAAATAATACTTTCTACTTTGATGACATTTTTATTTCCAACTCTTAGTTTAATGATCAGATTTTGGAGAAAGAAAATCTATCTTTGTTCTAGTATCTCCATGCAGGGTTCTGCTCTTAGTAAACATTGCCCTAAAGAAGTAGGAAAATACACTTCTTCGGAGCAGGAATGCTTTCTTTTATTGTTACTATGTTGGTGAAATTAGCTGCCTGTAAGTTGCCAGGAACATGAATTATTCCCTCTCAGGTGGTCTTTCTGACCTCTAAGGGGGAAAAGAAGACCCCTCCCCCAATACAGCAAACATCAGTGTGACAAACAAAACCCAGTCTCCAACAAGGAAGATGTCTGAAGAGCCACAGCTATATAGTCTCTGCTGGTCTATAGACAATACATATGGATAGATACTAGTTGGTGATTGCAGTATCTTTTGTTAGACAAGACAGGCCCAGAGTGGCCTCAAATTCCCAATCTTCCCACCTAAGGGTTAGTGTTACAAAGTTAGAGTTTTTTTTGCATTATAAAATTGTTTTAAAATATTTCCACATTCCCTTTTATGGTTTGATTTTTTTTTCCCCTCATTGGCTCTTGTACTATGGATGGACATTTTTTTCCATGTTGATGCTGTAGGCCGTGTGTCCTTTTCATACTGCTCAGCAGTTTCTGTCCCTTTAGCTTTCCATCCCCCGACTGAGGGGAGTTAGGTTGTTGCTATCTTTTTGGTTGTATAAACTATGTGCCAGTGGGGATATTTGCCCAAGTCCGTCCATGTCAACACTTCTCTAAGGTGACACAGTTGAGAGCAGAACTGATGGGTCATAGGACATTCATGTATTCAGAACAATTACTAACTTGCTGATGCTATTCTGTCTTTGGGTGGGTTAGGTGGCTGTCACTCTCTTTGGTGCTCATGTGATTCCTCTGGAGGGTGTGTTAACACAGATGGGTAGGCCTCCACTCCTGCAGTTCTTGCTTCATGAGGCTTGAGGTGGCTGGGTGGGGAGCTGAGTTTGGAGTTGCTAATGATGAGTTCCAGGTTACCCACTATCTCTGGCCTGTGGACACTCAGTGGGTTAGGTCAAGGCAGATCTCATGGGCCTAGAAATAATGAAGCCACTTGCTCAAAATAACCCCCATGGGTTGGGAAGGGGAGTTTCTTCCATCTTAGGACATTATCTCAATATGGGGCTTTCAGAGCTCGGGGACATTTCCATTGTCTTGCATTTTCTGTGCTAGGAACCATTTCCAGGCCACTTTGATTCCCCAACTTTTTAACCTCTGGCCAGTTTCTCTAGTTTTCTGCTTGAAAACATGCAGAGTCATTATCAGCTCTGGCCTGGAACTTGACGGCGATAAGTTTGTGTGGTTCTTGAGCTGTGAGGCGTGGCACCTTGACACTGGGGATGTACATTCTATTCTGCACAATGTTCCTTTATTGCTTTGACATTTTTAGTTTCTGTATTTTCCGTGTCCTTCTTCCCAGGACTCTTATTTTGCTAGCTTATCAGATCAATTGGCTTAATCCTCTCAATTTTCTCCTCTTCTCTTTCCTGCATTTTCCATCTCTTTAGAATTGTTTCACTTCCCTGAAGTTTAACTTAATTCTGTATTCCAATCCGTTCACAACTTTTACATTTCAGTTATCAGATGAAAAAAATAAACTTCATTTTTTAATAGAATGGTTCACATTGAGAAGGGATTGTATTATTAATATTGTATATCTATGCACTCTATACCCAGTTCTCACTATTTTTAGCAACACATTAACATGGTACATTAATTACAATTAATGGATTAGCATTAAGGCATTATTAACTAAAACCCATAGTTTATTCAGATTTCCTAGGTTTTCACTGAATTTACCAGTTCTCTTCCCGAATCATATTACTTTGAGCTGTCATGTCCCCTAGGCTTCTCTGAATGGCCTTGTTCTTGATGGGCAGATTTGAACAATCCCAGTCAGGGACTCAGTGGAATATCTCTCACCTGGGACCTGCTTTACTCATGATTATACTAGGGCTGAGGAGTTGGGGGAGGACCACATTTGCACCCCTTCATCTCAGGAGTATGTGCTACCAAGGTAATATAAATACTGATGTTGGCCTTGAGCAACTGGCTGAAGCTGTTTTTTTCAGCTTCCTCTACTGTGAGCCTCCCTCTGACCCCCCTCCCACCCCGGTGTCCTTGGAAGGATGCTGTACGTACAGCCACATGGGCTTCAGACGGCCTCCTTGAGGTGTTGATCATATTTTTATTCCCGAGAATGTCCCCCTCCAAAGGACTGTTTTATTTTCCATTTTCATGTGTGTGAATGGTGTACATGTGTGTAGACACATGTATAGTGTGCATACAGGTGGGTGCAGGTCTATGTAGAAGCCTGAGGTTGATATTGGAACTCATTCTCCATCACTCTCCAACTGTGTTCACTAAGGCAGGGTCTCTCAGTAAAACTCAGAGCTCTCCAATATGGCTAGTTGTTGTGGAATAATCTTTTTGTACACTGTGATTTTGTGTCACTCTGATTGCTTGAACAAAAGGCTGAATGACCAACAGCTAGGCAGGGTTTCAGGCACAGAGGATGCTGGGAAGAAGAAGGGTGGAGTCACAAGCCAGATTGAGAGGAAGCAGGAAAGCAGGATGGACAGTACATAGATGAGGTAAATGAACCTCAGGGTAGCACATAGATGAATAGAAACAGGTTAATATAAGAGCTAGCTAAAAACAAGTCTAGGTTATTAGCCAAGCTTTCATAATTAATAAGAAGTCTTCATGTGGCTATTTGGGAGCTGGCTGGGCAGACAAAGACTCACTACAGCTGGTCTCACAAGCCAGTTTGCTGTAGGGATCCCTGGTGTCTGCATTCTGAGGCTGGAATTACAGGTGGGCTATCATTCTTGCATTTACATATATTCTGGGGAATCTGAATTCAGTCCTCACTCTTGGCTAATAAGCTCGAGCCACCTTCCCAACACCTGTAAGCATTACTTTAAAACAACTCTCTGTCCTTTACTTAGGGTTGCAGTATTTTGTCTCTCTGAAGACAATTGTAATGTTAAAAGGATTTTCCTAGTATTTTTACGTCTTCTTCTTCCCTGTCCAGTTGCTTGTGCCTTTTCTTCATTATAACCATCTCTCAGATGTTCATTGTTCTTGGCTGGCTGATGGTATTTTAAGGTTGGACTATCAAAAGCTGAGGAGAAAGTGCTATGTAAGCGAGCCAGGTGTGGCTTTTTTGGTTTTTGTTTTCCCGTGGTTGCTGGTTTAACGAGAAAATGCCATTCACTGGGTGGCTTAACACAACAGAAATTTGTTCTTGGATGGGTCTGAAGCCTGCACATCTGAAATGAGTACTTTTGGGTTTAAGTCACAATGTTAGTGTGATGTGGCTCCCTTCCTCTGAGGCTCTAGGGCAGCCGGTCTCAACTTGTGGGTCTCTGCCCCTTTGGGGGTTGCATATCAGTTATTTCCATTATGATTTATCACAGTAGCAAAATTGCAGTTATGAAGTATTGATGAGATGATTTTATGGTTGGGGGTCACCACAACATAAGGAACTGTATTAAAGGGTAGAAACATTATGAAAGTTGAGAGCCACTGCCCTAGGGCAAAGTCCTTTGTTCCTCTGATACTTCTTTCAGCTCCTGATGGCAGCTGGAGTCCTTTCCTGTGTGGCTACTTCACTAGAGGCTCTGGGGTCAAACCCTGTTCACGCCTCTGTATACGAAGAATTTCCCCATTCCCCAGCTCTAATAGGAACACTGGCCTTGGCATTTGCTTCCTCCCAGGAGATTATCCAGAAAAAAAAATCTACTCTGCCTCAAGATCCTTAACTTAATCACACCCCTTCAGGAAGTTTGAGGTGGGGCTATGGATTTGCATATTTGCATTGTTAATGAGGGCCAGGGGATCTGTTGTTGTTGACCACTGGATTAGGTTCAGGCAAATCTCACTGCCCTAGAAATAGCCAAGGCTCTTGCTCATAGTATCTAACCTAGGTTAGATGGGGGCTCTGCCATTGTGGTGGTTTGAATGAAAATGGATGGCCCCCGTAGGCTTATAGGGAGTGCTACCATTAGGAGGTATGGCCTTTTTGCAGTAGGGATGGCTTTGTTGGGAGGAAGCACATCACTAGGGGGTGGGCTTTGAGGTCTCAGAAGCTCAAGCCAGGTCTAGTAGCTCACTCCCTGCTGCCTGTGGATCCAAATGTAGAACTCTCAGCTACCTCTCCAGCACCATGTCTGCCTGCACTATGCTGTGCTTCCTGCCATGATGATAATGGACTAAACTTCTGAGCTGTAAACCAGCCCCCAGTTAAATGTTTTCCTTTGTAAGAGTTGCAGTGGTCATGGTGTCTCTTCACATCAATAGGACCCCAAGACAGCCATCTTAAGACATCATCATTGAATCAGCTAACAATTGTGGGCTTCTGGGATTAGAAACTCATGATCTGGTGATCAGTTTACAGCCTCATGGGCAGCCTCACCTGTGAGTCTATGCCTCATTGCTCACTTTGCTCAGGAATCCTCTCATCGATGGCCTAGTTGCCAGTGTTCTTGGTGTAGAGAGGACACACCCTAAATTAGGCAGACTTTGAAAGCTGTTCTTACATAGAATTGAGTACCTCACCCTTGCTGATGTCTATACCATTGAGCCCAAAGGGACTTTGATTGACTCTCTTTGGTGGGATTCACCAAACTTGATGGCAGAGGAAGGAGAATCCCCAAGATTCAGAGGTGGAGGGCTGAGCCAGAGGCTCCTATTTTCTGTACCCCTACTTTCCATTCCTGGGTCTTCTGGGACCCTCAGGAAACTTAGCAGCCTGATTCTGGATCTGAACTGTGGGTTTGGATGTCAACATTTGGATGTCAAGTGAGGGATGACTTGTCCATGAACTTGCTCAGGTCTAACTTGTTTTAAGTGGTTTCCCCCCCTTCATCTTTCTGTTTTTCTTCCTATTGTGGGTTTTAATTTAATTCAAAAGACTTTCCTTACTGGTGTGTGTGTGTGTGTGTTTGTGTGTGTGAAAGAGAGTGTATGTGCGTGTGAGAATGTGTGTGTGTCAATATGTGTGTGTGTGTTTGTGTGTGTGAAAGAGTGTATGTGTGTGTGTGAGAATGTGTGTGTGTCAATATGTGTGTGTGTGTTTGTGTGTGTGAAAGAGAGTGTATGTGCGTGTGAGAATGTGTGAGAGAGAGAGAGAGAGAGAGAGAGAGAGAGAGAGAGAGAATGTGTGCAGGGGGCTTGAGTTTAATTTGCCACTTAAAGTGACAAGGGAGTCTCAATGTGTGGCCTCCAAGCCAGAGAGCTCAGCATTGCTTGGGAGCTTGGTAGAAATGCTACTTTATCTGGATCCCATTCCTGAAAAATCAGCTCTCAGGGTGGGGCCTTGTGATGTGCATTTTAAGCAGCCCTTCTGATCACTCTGATAAACATCAACACTTAAAAGCCTCCACAGTGACTTCTTCCTCCTCTTCTCCCTACCAAAAGAACTCCTGAAGGGGTGTGGGCCAGTTGGGCCAAGATCATCACTAAATCACAGTGATACTTGGAGAAGGGTATCAGGAAGACTCACCAGGTATCTGTCTTAGAGGTAAATATTCCTTCCATGAAGGCCTCTGGGGGCATCCACTTCACTGGCAGCATGGCACACCCTCCCTTTCTGTAGTAGCTGGCCCTGTGGGGGAAGAAGAGGATATCAAGCTTGGATCGGAAGAGGTCAATGAACAGAAACTCTGCCTGGAAGCTCGAGGAAGAGGCTGCAACACTTCCTGCCTGTGAAAAAAACCCTGAAATTAAAGACAGGTCCTGGGTGACTGGGGAGGAGAGCAGGGGAGCACAGATCATTTAGTTAAGAATCTTGGTGTCACTTAATGGCCCACTGGAGGCACGGAGGAAAAGATCTATGCAGTGACTAAGGTCCCTGCTAGCGGCTGTTTAGATTTCCCTGTTGGGTTTTGTTTATTATAACTCACAATGAATAACATTACTTCAACCTTATAAGTACAGCATGTTTCTGATGACCTACAGTAATTCGAGTTCCAGAATGGGAGGGCTGAGAACAGGGCTCCTGTCTTATTCATTTCTGATCCTCTATTATACTTACACAGTGGCATTTCATTCTCTGTTGGCACTCAACAAATAATCTAGACAGCTGGCCAGAGGCTGCTTCCTGTAACACATCCAGACAGAAGGACACAGGGCTGGCTGAGCATGGGGATAGCTTAACACAGAGATGAATTAATTTATTAGTTTTCATCAGTAATGCCATTGATGCAACTGGCTAATAAGAACTAATAAATTAACTCATTTACCCGTTAAGCCAATTCCACACCTAGTTTGATGTTCTGTGCCTGTGCGTGCTTTGGGAGGCAGCTTTCCACCAGCTGTCTACACTAATTAATGACTTCAATAAACATGTTCTGAGTATTCGGATGTATCAAGTGTTCTGCCATGTACTGAGGACATAAATAAATCATAGTTTCTCTTTCTCCTAAGGATACAGGTCAGTGGAAGAAACACACCTGAAATCACCTCCTATGATAATCGTGTGGGCATGGAGTTCAGTGACATAGATGGAAGATTGATTTTCTGTATAGAAAATAAGGGCATATACAGGGGCAGCATCACAGAGAGGTGGTCAAGGAGTTCTCTCCAAAGACCATTCCTGATCCAGAACATCGACAGATACACGGGACTTGAGGGAAGCAAGGATGGCTGAAGTCTAGAGATAGGAATTACTTTACTTTGGATCTTAAGGGTCCCTAGAAGCCACATGCTAGAGCCTTGGCTACCAGCCTGCTGCACTTCTGGGATGCATCAGAACCTTTAAATGGTGGGGCTTATCAGAAGGCAGTTAGGTCATTGGGGGCATGCTCCTGAAGATGTGTGGACCACAGTTCACTCATTCCTTTTTCTATCTTTGCTTTAGTCCACCATGAGATAGACATGGTGTCATGTACTCCTGTCCCCATATACCACAGGCCAGAAGCATTGGAGTCAAACATATGGGCATGGACTGAAGGCTCTGTAATTGTGGTCCAAAGCCAATACTTTCATCCCTATGAATTCATTTAGCTCATGTATTTGTCACAGAGAAGAAAAATCTGACTTCCAAGGAGTTAGTTGTCAGAGAGGAAGACCCAATAAGGATAACATGCTACACTGCTCTATTTGAAACTGGAGGCACCCCCCAGTGTCCTGAGAAAGTACAGGGAGGTGTGCAGAGACCGGGGGAGGAGGCTGTGATGGGTAACACTGAGGCTCAGCTTCGCAGACTACAGAATCACCTGGATGCTCAGTGTCTCTGGGCATGCCTATGAGGGATTATTTTGAGTAGGTTAACTGAGGTGGGAAGACCCACCCTGAGCAGGATGGCATTGTTCCATCGATTTCGGTTCTGGACGAAAAAAAAAAAAAAAAAAAAAAAGAGGAAAGCAAATTGAGCATGCATCTCTTTCTGCTTCCTATTGTGGGTGTGATGTAGCCAGCTGCTCCAAGTTCCTTCTGCACTGGTTTCCCTACTGTGAGGGACTGCACTTTTGAGCTGAGAGCCGAATAACCCTTTCCTCCCTAAGTTGCTTTTGCCAGCATATTTTCTCATAGAGATAGTTAGAAAACTAACTAAGATGGGGGTAAAAGGCAAAGTGGGAAGATGTGGAAGTCCTGTAATGATGGCAGCAGTAAATGGCTCCAAAGAATTCTTCACCGACTCTGTCCTCAATACACTATGGCCTTAAGGTCCCAGCACAGAAACAACACCCCTGGCCCTTTAGATATGCTATTACTTCTCACCAAAGTCCTCAGTAGTTTCCGGATGTTCTTATTCATTCTATGGATAATGAAAGCTCCATGGAACCACATTCCCATTTCTGAACATTGGGGAAGGGACCAATTAGTGACCATGTAAAGGAACCGCTTGCTCATCTCGTCTAGCAAGTCAGGGTTGCAAATAATTAGAAATAAGAAACTACAGGTTGGGAAATAGAGAGAGAAAGTGCAACAAAACACTATATTTTATAATAAAAACCCTTACTTATTACTATTAGTATATTATTTATAGTGTTGAGGACCAAGACTGGACTTTGTATGTGCATGACAAGTACTTTACCAACATGCTACATCATCATTCCTTCATTGTAATTTTTATGTAGTCTCGAGACTGTGAGGCAGGCGGAATGAAGCTGAATGAGGAACCTTTGTGTTTTGAAATGTATTTCCGTGTCTCTGAGTGTTGACAAGGCTCAGTCTTCTGTCCATCCTGGGGAACTTGTGTCTGTGGTGATGAATGTCACTGCAATAATTTAGAATTTTTGAGTGTTGAGGGCAGAAGTAGAGTAATACATAAAGTCCACTTCAAAGCTTTTCAGACATCAAGTGCCCATGTTATGTTAGAACATGGCAGGATAAGAGAGTTAGAGTCAGAGCGATAAGCCAAGATGAAACGTGGTGAAAGTCCTGCTGAGATTTAGACTGGGCACTAATTAGAGGTTCCTATATCCTGGAAGGCACTCAATGCAAGTCCACTTGGGAAGCTGACAAGGTACCAGATGATGTAAGGTGCAAACCATCATAGACATCTATTTGAGGAGACTGGATGGTGGAGCAAGGCAATTCTCTCACCTGTAGATGTCTCGGGCCATCCCAAAGTCTCCAATCTTTGCTATTCTTCCAGCTCCTGGACAGGTTAGAAGACAGTTTCTAGCAGCAATATCCCTGGGAAGAAAAATAGATGAGAAAATAGGTTTCCTAATTTTATACATAAAACATCCTACCACCTTCACCTCCAGTAAAGTTCAAACAGTTCTTTTCTTCTCTCTGTATTTATGTTGTTATGTTATACTTCACTGCAGAGGAAATAGCAATGCCAATTTCAGACCAGGATTAGGGGAATTGCTTGAAAACTGTGGCAGTTTCAGTGAGAAATGTCCCTTCTAGGTTCATGTATTTGAACACTTCCTGGTTCCTGGCTGGTAATGTTTTGGGAAGGTTGTGGAATCTTTAAGAGGTGGAGGCTAGAGGAAGTACATCACTAGGGGTGACCTTTAAGTGTTTACAACCCCACCCCACTTCCAGTCCACTCTTTGTGTTTGTGGGTGAAGATGTGATCTCTTAGCTTCCTGGCACTTCTCTTACCATTATGGACTCTTCCTGTGGAATTGTAAGCCTAAATAAACTCTCCTATAATTGCTTTGATCATTGTGTTTTATCTCAGCAACAGAAAAGAAACTACTATTGAAGGTCTCTTTAACAGGCCCAAACATGGCAAATATGGAGCCAATAGGTTTGTCCCTTTCATCTTCCCCCTTCCTTGCTAAACCATGGCCCTCAAGGTTCGTTCCCTTATTTGGCCACTGAGTCCTGTCTGAGACTGAACTGTAAGGTCCAACTATTAAAATACTGAGGTCCAACTATTAGCCAGCAATTAAATTTCATTGTTTTGGTAAATTGTCCAAACCAGGACTTACAAACTCACCCTAACATAGACTGATTTCCCCCTTTCTCCTTAAACCACTCTCACAGAAACATCTGTTTTCTGCCTTTGCTGGATCCAGAGGCAGCCATCCCCCCTCCCCCTCCCCCAGGGTATAAATCTCCTTTGTGCTGAGACTCTGGTATCTGGGTGTGTCCTGGGCCAACTCCAAGGCCCCTTACAAATGTAACAATGCTTAGTAAAATATGAGTAATGACACCAGCTAGAGGAGAACTTGCTGGACTTTTACTGAGTGTTAGGCATTGTTAAAGACCAATTCTCATTACAGACAACACAGGGGCATAAGAAATGCTGTCTGGCTTTGGGATACTGTTATACATAGAGCATGGCTTAGTGTTTTGCCAGTAGTTTGAAGAAGTGTTCCAGAGCAGTATGACTTCCAATTCAAATGGGTTACTGTATTTCCAAACATTTCTTTTTCTTTTCTTTCCTTTCTTTCTTCTTTCTTTTTTTTATAGCCAGTGTGGTTTTAACACCTGTGATTGTATCTACTGCCTTTGCTAAGCTACGCAGCTGAAGAGTCACTTGGTCTACGTTAAGAAGTTGGCACTCTGTTCCTGGCCTCCAGGTGGCTCATTTTCCTGCAGCATGCCTCTGAGGTACCACCACTGCACTTTCCAGATTTGTCCCCCTTGACCCCAGGCTGCTTCCACATAGACATACATGTGGGAACCAGACCCCAGCCAGAAGTCTGGAATGCAGTGCTAATCCTGTTAAAGCTCTATGCAAACAAACAAACAAACAAACAAACAAACCAGGTACCTTAGGGGGCACAGATGGTGTTTTTATACTTTCAAATGGCTTCATGGAGGTTCTTATCTTTGGTTGAGAAAGAAGTTGGAGGATAAACAACTGGCTAAGATGACTTTTAAAAATGAGCATGGGCAGGGGGATTTCTCAATAGTTATGAAACCTGCTGTGCTGTTTGGTAACACGAGGAGGACTGGATTTAGACACCCAAAACCATAAAAATGCCAGGAATGATGTGGTGTCATGCCTGCAGCTCTAGCCTTGGAAGGTGGCTACAGGGAATCTTCAGAGTATGCTGGCTAGCAAGACTAGCCATATCAATGAGCTCTGGGTTTGACTGAGAGACTCTGCCTCAGTCAATAAGGTAGAAAAGTGATAGAGAATAATTCCTAACATCAATTGTGGGTCACCACATATTTGAGCACACATGTGCACACATACACATATATGCCCATATTTATGGAAAACATGCATGTATACATACCAAAACTACACACACACACACGGGAAGGTGGTGTCTGGGTGTGTCCTCTATTCTTAGCACTTGGAAGGGTATTCTGGGCTATATAGCAAGTTCTAGGCTAGCCTGGGCTACCTAGTGAGACCTTATCTTTAATTAATTAATTTTTAAATTCCAATTCCAGTTCCCCCTCCCTTCTCTCCTCCTGCTACCCCCACTCCATCCCCCCATCTCCTATCTGTTCCACGGAGAGGCCAAGGCCTCCCCTAGGAAGTCTACTAAGTCTGTCCCATCATCTAGTTGAGGCAGGACCAAGGCACCTCTCCACCAACACACCCGTGTCTAGGCTGGGCAAGGTATCTCTCCATATAGAATGGGCGCCACTAAGTCAGTTTGTGCATTAGAGTTAGATCTTGGACCCACTGCCAATGGCCTCATATATTGTCCCAGTTGCACCTTTGTCACTTGTATTAGGGGAATCTAGTTCGGTCTTACACAGGTTCCCCATTTGTCAGACCTGAGTCAGTGATCTCTCACTAGCTCGGGTCAGCTGATTCTGTGGGTTTCCCCATCATGCTCTTGACTCCTTTGTTCATATTCTCGCTCCTCCCTCACATTGATTGTACACCAGGAGCCTGGCCCAATGGTTAGTTGTGGGTTTCTGCATCTGCTTCCATCTGTTTCTGGAAGAGGGTTCTAGCTTTTCTGGGCTTGTGGAGAAGGCTGGGTATCTTTTGCTTTATGTGAGATCCCATCTTAGAAAATAAAATAAGGGAGATGGCGAGTAGTTGAGAACAGTTGGTGCTCTTGCGAGGACACGGGTTCAGGTCCCAGCACCCACATGGTGACTCCAGTTCTAGTGGCTGTGATGTCCTCTTCCGACAGCACAGATACCAGATATTCATAGTGCACATACATATCCTCAGTTAGTACACTTGTACTCGTAAAAACTAAAGGAAAGAAAAGTCTACATTTAAATATTTTTTTAAAAATATGATTTAAGGATCATGGCTCAAGATTCAGAAAAATGGTTTGGAGTGAGAATTGGACATTTGTTAATGCCACTAACCCAGTTCATAAGGTTTAAGCTGAATTTCTGAGGAGCAGTGGTCCACATAATGTCCAAAGAGAACCTTAAAAGCATAAAATGTGTGGCATGAAAACAAAGGAAAATAGCCATTAATTCTGAAGAGAAATATGAAGTGGATTGGGGAAAATGCTTATGTCTTCCAAAAGGTCTTTACCCCAAAGTATATGAGACCATTGCTTAAAAAGTGACTTTGAATTTAATGATAAGGATATAAATGTAATAGCATCAAATACACAATACATGGCACATACATCTTGAACTTTTAGCAAACTGTGTCCAGAAGCAACAGATTTCAGTGAAGAATGAATGTGGGTGTGTGTGCTCTGAGTGGCAGCCTGGGAATCCAAAAGGCAGGTTCAAGGGGGTGGGGCAGGGAGAGGTAACTGTTGTGGAGCATCCCATGCAGCTCCTAGCCAGAGGGAAGCTGTAAAAGGCACTTCTCTGATACAAACTACCACAGGAGTCCAGGAGAAAAGCTCTGATGGAGGTGAGCAATTTCTAGACGGCCCCTTTTGCTTCCCACAGGTCATTCAACACAAGCTTCACTTGACCTTTGACAATTCAATTTCTTGAAAAAGACAAAATGAGAGGCTGGGGAGGTGACCCAGTTGGTAAAGAGCTTGCTGTAGAAGCATAAGGAACTGAGTTTGGATCTCCCAACCCTCACATAAGCAGCCAGGGGAGGTGGCTTGTATTTGTAACTTAGCAGTGGGGAGGCAGACACAGGCAGATAGATCTCTGAAGCTCCTTGGCTGGCTAACCTAGCTGAAGTGATGAGCTCTGAATTAAGGGGAGGACTCTGTCTTAAATATAAGATGGAGAGTGACTGAGGAATACACTTGATACCAACCTCTAGTATGTGACACTCTTACACCTGCAGTCATATGTGCATACATCCATACAAACATGTATGTATTCCCTCTCCTATATACTCTTACACACACATACACACAGATCAAAGAGCAGCACACAATGACTCAGAGACCTAATTCTGATCTTCATGAACCACTTCCAGATCTGGAGGTAGCAGGAGTTTTGGATGGATGTGATCCCGGTATCTCTTACAGGACATGGGTTATCAACATAAGGAAGTGGATTTCAGCTTGTTAGTAAAGGAAACGATTCCCTCAGCCAGATACTCTGTCGCTTTGGTGCTGAATGTGGGTGGAATGCCAGCAAGGAAGCCACCGTGAGAAGCAAAGGCAGGCACCTGAAGTCACCAAGGTGATGCACGATTGCTAGCAGATAAATCCAGACTTAAAGATCATGGGCAAATGATGGGGATGTGGCTTTAATGGAGGCCGGTCTCCAAAGGAACACAGACTTGCCTCAACTGAGAAACAGAAGAGCCCAGAGCTGGGGTTTATGGAAAGTTTTGGGCACAATGAAAAGGCCAGCAGGGGGTGTGGCTTCGGATGAAGACACAGAGGAGTGGTTCTGGCTACCTTCTTGCATCTGTTACTTCTATCAGTCACAAAGGCCTGCAAGTTGGTGCAGGTGAGAAACAAGAGGAAGGACCAAGGACCAAAGCAATGAATGGTCAGTGAAGGGAGGAGGTGGTTTAAGAGAGGCTACTGTCTGGTCTTCAGAATGACTTTGAGAACCTGGGTGGGTCTCCTTCCTGACTCCCGGCTTCCTCATTCTATCAGGGAGAAAGGCTGGCTTGTCTATACCTCCACGCTTCTCTTCTGAAAGCATACAGGATTATTTTCTACTCTGTACCTATGTGCACCCATAGTGATGAGCATGACTTAAGTGGTTCGATGACATGGTCAATAAATAATCGTGAGTTCACTAGGCTATCATTTACCAAGTTGGAAGCACATCATTAAGAAGAGCTTTGCAAAGAACCGAGTAATGGATTTGACTTTTCAGATCTCAGATCTCAGATCATCAACAGACTCGAGGGAGGAAACCTGTGATCCATGATGCTCATGAGCACTGAGTGTGAGTGTGCCGCAGCCCACACAGCGTCTAAACACAAGGTTCACGTATGGCGGAAGAATGACACAGCAGTAAAGCAAATCATAGTTAGGCTTCACTTCAGGGTATTTTGGAAAAAATAATTTATCCAGACAATACTTAGTGTCCAGTAATATGCTAGGGAGACAAGGATGAATTGAAGACTCTTTTGAAGAGCTCAGTGTCTAGAGTGGGGAAACTTAAGGTGTTAGAAGACTTGAATGTACAGGCAGGAGGACCATAGGGGGGGGGGAGTCGCCTACCAGTCTCTAGCTAGCCCCCATGGGGGAAGTGTAGAGATTTTAGGCACTCACTTCACACAGGGACAGGAGATGCCTTGGAAGAGAGTCCCCCTCAGAGACAAAGATGACTCTGGAGAGAGACATAGTCATCTCTTTAAGGAGGGGGAGATCTGCACTTGGGAGGAACAGGGACTCGTGTGGGCTCTGAGGACTTGAAGGTCACTGGCTCACCGGTGGATGAAGTGGTTTTCCTCCAGGTATTGACAGCCACAGGCAATGTCCCGGGCCACATGCAGAAGATCCAACATAGCCAGGGAGGAGGGCTGGTTCTGTGGGAAGACAAGAGGAGTGCCAATGAGGCTTTTGTGGAAGAAAGATGGGGTACTGGCTTCTGTTTGGGAGGAGGCTCTGACCCCTTTAAAATTCAGTTGCTTTGCCCAACAACAGTCAAGGAACCCATCCTTTGGGATAGGCATGACTTTGTTTATTTCAAAGCACCACTGGTGATCTAATGTACAGCCTGGATTAGGGTTGTCTAAGCCACAGGAATCCAGCAGGGTGGACTGCCTTACTCTTTTTATGTATTTTACACATTTTTCAACTCCACAGGTCATGTGCATGCTACAACCTGATAAACAACCCCAGGGGAAACCCAATGGAGAGTAATGTTTTTGAAATCAATGTCTCTAATTGGTCTGCGTATTTATTTATTGTGGTTTTTTTTTTTATTTGTGTGTGTGTTGTAAGTGTGTGTGTGTGTGAGTGTGTGTGTGTGCAGAGGTGGTTATGCATGTGTGTGCATTACAGGCCCCAGGCTGATGTCAGGAATCCACTCACTTTCATCTTAGTCGTTAAGGCAGGGTTTTTCAGTCACACCCAGAGTGCCTCCTCAACATGGCTAATCTTGTTAGTCATCTGTCTAGAGATCCCCTGTCTCAACCCTCTGGCACTAAAACTGCAGACAGGTTACCATGCTCATAAGACATTTACATGAGATGATGTGGGAATTCAAATTCCAGTCATTGTGTGACAAGCACTTTAACCACCAGGTTTTAACCACCGAGCCATCTCCCCAGCCCTTAAATGTTTTTAAACATGCTCTGATCAGGCATTCAGGTTCCACTTGTACAGATGTTAAGGTCGAAGAAGGTGGGCAGCCTTGGGTCATATGGTGCCTGATGGCAGTGCAGGGGTTGGAGGCTGGGTTTCACGGGCCCCCCTTGGAGTTTGTCACACATTCTGTCCCTCATCCATGAGACTATAGGCACATATGCTACCCTCATAACTATTCCAGTGTGTTATTATTATTATTATACAGAAAACTACAAAGCAGGATGCTGTGTATATTTGTTTGAGAGAAGAGAGTTGGAATGAGGGATAGAAAGCGAGTTAGTGACATGGCTGGCACGCAAGTCCCTTTGATCCAGAGCCATCAGATCATAAAGAGAAGTCAAGCTATTGAATCAATTGTGTGAGGCTTGCACACCCTCCTTTGGCTGGCGCTCTTTCTGTCCACCCAGTCCTGCCCAATCCCTTCCTATCGGAACCACAGTGCTAATGACTCCTAGGGACCCATCAAGCATGCAACTTCCCAGGCAGCCCACTCCCGCTCCCCTCACCCCTGCTCTTTTACTGAACACTGAAGGGAAGACTGGTTCTTACTCACTCACCGGGCGAGGGCGCGTCTCCCTGAGGAAGGATTTGAGGTCTCCACCAGCCATGAGCTCCAGCAGGATGAAGCGCGGCAGGGCTTGCAGGCTCACCCCGATGCAGCGAACAATGTTCTGGTGGTTGAATTTGCTGCAGGGCATAGAGTGGAACCGAATTTAACCGAGCTGGATCAGGACACCGAGTCACAGTTTCAGCGACCACGCAAAATGGGCGGCAGGGTCCCTGGGGAAACCTGGGGTGAACCTCCCTGGGGAGATGCACAGATGAGGCAGGCCTAGTGGGAGATGAGTTAGCAGGAACAAATTCTAGTGGAGTGGGGGGGACCTTGAAATGACAAAGTTTATGTATACGTGCATATGTGGGTGCATGCATAAGTGAGTGTGTGTCTCTCTCTCTCTCTCTCTCTCTCTCTCTGTGTGTGTGTGTGTGTCTGTACATGTGTTTGTGTTTGTATGTGAGCATTGCTGCATGAATTTATACTTGAGTTATATAAGAAATGTCTCAGGTAGAAGTTGAAGGACGGGTTTGTGAAAGGGACAGCATGTGACCTATGGGGGACAGACAGTATGTGAAAGAGAGTCAGGAAGACAAAAGGTCCCACTGGTCTCTGCAATCTCCTGTGGACTCCACATAGGCAGGGACTGACTGGGACATAAGGTTTGGGTTATCTTGTTGTTTTTTGGCTATGTAGAGCAGTGGGACTAAGAAGTCCCCCCACCCCCAAACACACACACACAGTTGAGAGATTGGTGATTATATGTGGAAATATAACCATTTATTACCTAGTAGGAATATTACATAATTAAGCTCTCCTATGTAATTTTACACTTTTTAGGTTTTATTTAGTATTCCCACATTACACATGTAACTGGAAATAAATATTGCTTCATATGCCTCCAGGGGTTGGATCTCTGCAACTTTACCTGATGATGAGAGCTTCCATGAGGAAATCCAGCTCATCTTGTTCTGAACACACTTCTGGCAGTGTCTGAAGGGAGGCAGGAGGAGAAGGTGGCTGTGAGCTGTGGGTTGCAGCCCACAGGGACCTCAGGCTAAGGCTAGGCGGAAGGTGGAACCACCCCTCACCTTCACAGCCACTTGTAGAGGGCTTGGGTCATTGGGCATTCCAGATACCTGGCCTTCATACACCTCCCCAAATGCTCCATGGCCTAGGCCCCTGTACCAAGAAGACAAGATAAGTCATAGTTAAGTGAGCCACAGGTAGCTGGGGTCCTTGAGGTCCGTGTCACTTTCAGTGTACACAGACAAGAGGCTGGCACTCTCAGGAGTTACACCTTCAGTGTACACAGACAAGAGGCTGACACGCTCAAGAGTTATACCTTCCGCTTGACTTGCTATGTTACCCTGGGCCTCCATTCATTTATTATTTCTTTTAAAAATTATCTTATTTTGTTTTCATTTTAATTGAAAATGGATGGTTTTTCATACTCTTCCCAGACCCTTGCCACATCCCCATCCACCCACACCCACATCCTTTCTTTCTCACCCTCTTTAAAAAACAAGCAGGCATCTAGAAACCAAAAACAAAATAAACAAACCAAGGACAAAACAAACAGAAAAAAAGAGCCTAAGAAAAAAAGTATAAGAAACACATATAGATTCAAGTGAAATCCCTTAAATACATAACACTGTATAAGCCAAAAACCTGTAAGGTTTAAAAAAAAAGCCACTTCCCCAAATACCACTGAGTTCATTTTGAGTTGGCTGGGCATGGGGCCTGCCCTAAAGTGTGGTTTGTACAGCCATTGAGACTGTTGGAGAAAACTAATTTTTCTTTTGTGAGTGAGGCCTATATTACTTTACCTGAACTCTGGTGAGAACAGGTCTGCTAAGATTTGGAGGTGGTTTGAGGTTCACCAGCTGAAAAGCAATCCTGACTGTGAGGTGTTAGGAACGTGGAAAACTACTATACTGATGGGAAGTGATCTAGACAGGACAAGGTCATTAGGGTGGCACCTCCCATGGGCAGATTCTGGTGGCTCATAAGCCCAGCTCTGTCTTTGCCAGCAAGAAGGTGATCACTGGATATAGTCGGAGACCCTGGATCCTAACTCTGAGCCCAAACAAACCTCTTTTCTTTATGACTCTCCTAACCTGTGCACTGTGTCCCTGCAAACAGAAAACAGATTAAATCCAGTTCTAACTAGGGGTTCATGAAAATGGCCATTCATTCAATGAATATTTAGTGAGTCTCCGGTATCTGCCAGGGACATAGGCAAGAGATGACTTTGTCTGAAGAAGGTGGTAACTCCTAGGGACAGAGTCAGATGACTGACACATCCTTGCTGTGGATCGTTGTAGTGAATGACAGAAAAATGATAGGTATTTTGGATGCTCAGAGAATGGGGTAGGGCATGGGATCTTTGGGACAGGTTGCATGATGGGCTTTGAGAACTTTTATTCTTTTCATCAATTTATCCTCCTCATTGCATAAACTGCATGAACACACATGGTTTTGAAATAAGCAAACATCCCCATGAGTCTTGTCTCCCTGAGAGGCTGTGGGTATACCTCAAGATGGATGTTCATACTCCTTGTGGCTCGAGGAGTCCACAGTACAGAGAAATCGTCCAGCCCTGGGACAGTGACAGGAAGCTCACCGGATGAGGGTGATGTTTTTCCGTGGCACCTCCTTCAGGTCACTGATGGATGAGGTCTTGCCAGCAAAGCAGTAGTTGGGGTTGTAGTCAGTCATGATGGTTGAGGTCCGTAGCTTGCTCAGCTTATACTCAGGGCTCTGCAGCTCCATCTGCATAGCTTGTAACTCCTGGTGCTTCCGGCGGTACACTGTAGACAGATGGGGATCTGTTGGGAGAAAGCCTGGACCAGGCAGCCTTCAGTTGAAGCCCAGCAAAGGCCACCTCCTCCAGACCTTAAACTTTAAACTTTCCCATTACTGTTAGCAATACTAACAAAGTGATGGTGACCATCAGAATATCCCTTCATCATGGGAAGCAAGTGTGAAGCTTAAAACCACCTCACTGGAGAGATCTTGTTGTGTCACACAGGGATGGTGTTTTGTTTCTGTTGCTGTGATAAAATAGCTGGACAGAAGCCATGTGGGGGAGAAAGGGTTTCTTTTATCTCATAGTTCTAGGATACAGTCCATCTGTGTAGGGAGGTTAAGGTTGCAGCAGGAACTTGAAGTGGTTTGGTCACATCCACAGTCAAGATCAGAGGAGGAATGCATGTATGCCTGCACCCCCCTCACCCTGTCTCTTCTTAAATACAGGTCCAGTAACCAGACCTGCAGGGAACAGTGCTGCCCACCTTTAGGCTAGGCCATCTCACATCTATTAACTCAACTAAGAAAATCCCTCACAGGCATGTCTACAGGCCAACCTGAATTAGACAATCTGTCATTGAGATGACCTTCTCAGGTAATTCTAGACTGTGTCAAGTTGAAAATTAAAACTAACCTTCACACTGGACATGCCAGGGTTTTATTAGGGAGATGGCTGAGATCCATTAGACATGAAGGAATGATACAGAGAAGGTCAGAAGTATGCTGGAGGCCACACAATGGAAGGATGTTTTAATGAGGCTCTTGGGGGACATTTTGGGACCCAAGATGACCATCAGAGGTATCTCAGGTCTCCTATGAATGAGACTGCTTACATGCTTCTGGGACATTCCCTTTGCCTGGTTTCATGTCCCTGCCCATCTGTCAGGACATCTTATAGCCAGGTGGTCCATATTGAACCTCCGTGACATGAGACCAGCTAGCCTTGGTGGAATGGAAAAGGCTCAGAAACTAGCTTCATTCTGTGGTTGAGTGGGAGGACCTGGCTAGTACAGCTTGAGCTGTGACACAGGGAATGGCCCTCAAACACAGAAGAGCTGCCAGTAAAGGTGGGGGTTCAGGAAGAGCTTTCTCCATCATGTGGGTCACTGAAGGGTACCCATCTCTGTGAGCAGCCAGGAGGTCGTGCAGGGTCAAAGACCAGCATTAGAGATTCCTCTCTGACACTGCAGATTCAGGTGGGTAGAGGGTTGATGCTTCTGTTCTCACTTGGCCTAGTTCACCCAGCAGGGGCCCAGCAGGGCAGGGTGATGCTTGGTGTCCACTGTGCATCCTGAGACCCTGCTCTTGCCTGTCCTGGTCTGGAAACCCAGGGGCTCTGGCACACTCACCAATCATGATGCCGGAGAATGCCAGGACAAGGGCGGCCACCAGGGCAGAGGTCACCACGGAGAGGATCAGTGAGAGCGGCAGGTGGGGTTCCGGGGTGGGTGACACTGGAAGACAGGTCCCGATGGGGCACTGACCACCATGTTGATTCTCCTCTGAGCAGGTCCCAAGTCAGAAATACCCTCCCCAGCTGGAAAAGCCACCTGCTGTTTCCCGTCTCTGGAGATCTTGTCACACCTCCCTTTTCAGGGGACATGGGCCCTAAGCAGGCTCATCCTGGTTTCACAGGCTCCCAGAAGTAGCTTTGGGGTAAAGGGAAAATTCGACAGGGATGAACATCAATCTTGGGTGTTGGTCCCAAACATCAGCTGATCAATGATGGGATGGGCTCAGAAGGAGAAACGGAAGTGGACATGGAAGAGACTTGGGGACCTTAGGAGACTTGGCACTCAGTAGGACCCAGCAGTAGAGTCCCTTGGTGACACCCTCAGAGGTAGAATTACTTCTTATGGTCCCAGAACAAGGGAAGATCCTGT